AAAGTAGTGGAAAGAAACTTCGGTGCTTGTTTAGATTAATCTTTCTTTTCTATTGTTAATATTACAATATGTTGTATAGGCCAAGATGGTTCTTTTCGAAATGTAGCATGTCAGCATAATTTTTGGTCACTTTTTTTAGGAGACTGCTCACTTTGATATTCTTTTTATGGCTGAGCTGCCCCCCAAAATATTTGCGGCATGAACTGTGTTTTTTTTTTTATTGTGTATCTGCTCTAGTCATTTAAAGAAAAATAAATGTAAATATTTTTGAAGCAGCAAACTGTTCAGTCTTCTTTGCAATGGGTCCGTTGCTATGGGTTGGAACCAAAAGGACCAAGCGTGAACTTAGTTTGATAACGATTTTTTTACAAATGTTTATCTGTCTTTATCCCGTCACTACATGTACAATGCTCTCTAAACTTGACGTAGCACGTGAACACTTTCTCATGGCATTCCTGGCTGTTCTATTGAGTATATATGTCACAGATTAATTGTTCTGTTTTCAGGATAGTGCTCGCATTAGATACGACAGTTCAAACTTTCCATACATACAAGTTTGGGGAACATTTGCGGATTGCAGGTAATTTTATGTTGCAAAGACGTGCATCACGTTGCGCCTGCAAACTGCCAGGACATCCCTGTTTTGCATGTCGCATATCAACTTTTTCAAGGAGGAGCTTGGCATGTGACATACAAAGCCCGGATGTACTCATGAATAGCGGCAGTAACATAAAATGGGGCGAGTACTATCACAAACAAGACTGAACTTTTTCCGTACGTACAAGAAATGTAACCTGTGTCGTTTTGGACGCATTGGAACATGTGAGGTACTTCGTAAAAATGGTACATGTGCTGGCATGGCTTGCAACAGAACATGTGCTGCTGTGTGCCACGATGGTACATTTCCTGTAGCATACAGTACTTGTTCCGTGATGATGGTGTATGGAATTTGTTGTGGCTGCCCATACAGCAACAACATGTCCCGTACTAAAGAAGTATGGAACATGTTCTGTGTAGTACGGTAATACAGTACATGTTGTGGCAACAAGGTTAGCATGTATGTGTCCCATATTTTGACAGGAGTTTTTCTAACAGTGTAGTCACCATTGATTCGCGAGCCCCGATTCGGTTCTTATATATTTCTGAGCCATTGTAATTTCAACACAATGTAAATAATTTACAGTAACATGAAACGTTTGTATGTAAATGTGGTCGTAGTAGCGATTGTGGATTGTAGGTCTATATTAACACTTAAAATATTCAGATATGACTAATTGTCGCATTTTTATTTTTAGAGCGCAGCTCTAAGGCGCCCGTTTCGGGCTTGAGCGGCGTCGCCGTCGGCGTCGGCGTAACCGTAAGGTCACGTGACCCCCAGGATTTCGAGGGAGGAGGGAGGAGGTGTATACCTTCCCCTCGGTACCTTTCCCTCCTCCTCCTCAAGAGCTGCGCTCCAATTCGGCGTTACAGGGAGTTAGTTGTAAACGGCTTTCATTTAGAATTATAATGCAATTAAAATGCAAAGGTGCAAGCGAGCTGGACAAGAATGACGAAATGAATCCCTGGAGAAGGGGAAGGGGACCTCTCCACTTGTAATGGAGAGGTCCCGGGTTCGATACCCGGACCAGGCGGATTTTTTCGGCCGCTCACCAGTCACCTAGCTGTGTTTGGAGATTTTTGTTTGTCCATTGTCCCTCTTGTTCCCCTTCTCCAGGGATTCATTTCGTCGGCTTTTATTTTTTTGGCCAACAAAAGTGTGTCAACCCAATTTTACTTTAGCGATCTGGCTTCTTTGAGTATATGATCTAATTTATTATTATGTATTGAAAATATAAGAACGTAGGACTTTATTAGCCCAAACTGTCAAGTTCTATCATTAATTTAACAAATTCACAAAAGGAAAGTACAATACATGAAATTTATACAGCGATGCTTAAGCCTCATTAAATATTGTGGCAAGGCATGAACAAATGCGTTGCATTCTAAACGACTCGTTTTAAGTTATATGGCCCAGGTCGGGTCGCTCTCAGAAACGAGTAATTGTAAAGTAATTGAATTATTTTTAACAGTAATGTGTAATTGAAATGAATTACGTTTTACGTAGAACGAATTGTAATGGTTGTCGAACTACTTTTATAGCAAGGTAAGTGTAACTGTAATTGAACTAAATTTTTGAAGTAATTTACCCACGTATGGCAATGAACACACCTCAGTGATCGCTCCGCCTGACCGCGAAACTTGCGTTCGACGAGTTGTGCCTCTTCCCTTTGGTGCCGCGCGTACTCGTAAACACTTCCACGGATTCTCAATAACAGCCACGACTGTTTACACAAGGTTTTACGAAATTTTGTTGGCAAATGACGGCGAACCAGCAGAAAACCTGTCTTTGAGAACGCAGCAAACCCGGCCTCCTGATCGCTTCGCCTGTAAGATTTCACACAGACTCAAGATGGCCGATTTGGAACTTCCGGTGGCCGTAATTGCGCCGCAGCGACCAAGAGGAGATGCGCGATCCAGCAAACTGTCATAGAGATCAGTGGGTTACAGTGAACTAGTTCACAATAGCGAGTGAAAACTGTTCGTTTTTCTCAAATTGTTTCCTGCAACTGCCATTGCGTAAAAAAAAAAAAAAAAAATGTAACGCGTGATTTACAGGTAGGGTTCCGAGTTCTAGGATATATCCCAGGGGTGGCCAGGCTGACCCGGCCTAAGAGCCGCAAACAAAATCACAAACTTTGCAAGAGCCGCGGGGGGGGGGGGGGGGGGGCGATATTTGTTTAGAGCAATAAAAGAAACTCGAACTAATTCCGGTCCACATGAGTCAAAAGCAGTCCAATTGTGCGTAAGGCAGCAGTAGCACAACACTACCAAACCGCAACCTGTCTTTCGATTTAAAACGCGTTTCATTTCTCTTTTAGGGGAAGTGGTTCGGAAGGGAGGAAGGGGGGGGGGGGGGGAGAGGAGGGCTAAGGGAGGGAGCGGCGAGCCGCACTTTAACACACGGAGAGCCGCATGCGGCTCGCGAGCCGCAGCTTGGCCACCCCTGATATATCCGATAAAGTCCGAAAAACACCCGCCGTTAAAAGTTTGGTGAATTCGGATTTATCCGATAAACACCGAATTATGATGTGCCATCGCCCCCCCCCCCCCCCCCCCCCCCCTTTTTGTTTTCCCAAGAAAAAGAAAAGATGATATTTTACAAATAAGTGAGGTCAGCGCACAGGTTCAATGGTTCTGGTAAAATGCCACAGCAGTTATCTTTCAAATCTCGGACCATCGTTAAAAAAGATCTACCGCTCATCTTGTCGAGATTCATTCAGCACAACTATAGGTGACCACCTTTCTGCTAGCGAAATGTGGGACACTGGAGGCGGGGGGGGGGGGGGGGGGGGGGATTTATTAACACACACACCACGAACCGAGACTATGTTAACACATTTATTATCCTGTGTTGTTTATACACCTGCTAATTGTGTTGCGGCAATTAATCTCAATTAAGTTTCACTACGAGTGAGGTACTTTTTATGCCAAATGTGTTATTAAATGTGTCAAAGTTAAAACATGTAAATCGACTGTAGCAGAACTCAATGCATCAAATGGAAATAAGAAACAGTAAATCTCTTTCGGGTTATTGTTTCCTGTCAACACCTACTTTTCTCAGCATTGTCCTACACAAACTTTTAACATTATGTTCTTTTTCGACCGTTGCGAGTTGCAGGCTTTCTGCCTTGTGTGGCTGTGTTCACGAAAACAAAGATCCACAGCAACCGTTTCGCATTGACATAGCCATATCATAATAATTACAATATTTTATGTTGAAACTTTAGCGTGCAATTTTCTTAGAATATTTTGCCACTAAGAGGAGAGGCACTACGGAGCCTGCGCGTCGGTTCTCCTGCAAGAACGACAGTCGCTTCCCGCAATGCTTGGAAAGAATAGGGCGTACCATTGCCATTCACACGATTACCAGCGACCTCCGCGCTTCCCCGTGCCCCGTTGTTCGGCAGCGCCACGAGTTGCAGAGTGAATTTTACTACATTATGAAATGCGGGACATTTTGAACATTTGGGAATTTCTTGCGGGACGTGGGACACGAGCCTTCAATGCGGGACAGTCCCGCGAGTCGCGGGAAGGGTAGTCACCCTAAGCACAACAGGTCATTGTACTTTCGGGTCACGACAAAAGCTACAAAGTTACAAAAACACAATCCTTTCCTTCTTTTAAGGCACGAATAGTATAGCCTAAACTGGAAACCAAAAGGGTACTGTTTTGGTAACCAGTTTGGGCTATACCATTTGTGCTTAAGAGGAAGGAAGGGTTTTGTTTTTGTAACAGTTAAAGATGTATGAATCATAGAGATTGCATAAAACGGGGAAGAGGGGCAGTTGAAAGTTCTGTATTGCATCCTTTAGCACTCATCATAGCGCGGCTGCGGGGAGGTTGATGGAATAAGATGGGATGAATGCAAGCTTCCCAGCGACTATCTCCAGGAGTTTATTACTTTTTAGGTATCGACATTTATCGAAGCAGCACTCACGTGCAACGCTTGTCATAGGACAAATTAGTCTTGCCAATGATAATGGTACCAACGACAAATCCAGCTAAAAAACTTTTAATTGATACAAGCGCGTTCTCTTTTATAGCCTACGTTTACTCCCGCATATTATTTATTTATTTATTTTAATAGAAAACATTGCGAAGTTAAACTCAGAATTTCTGAGAATTGGAAATCGAAGAAAATAAATTCCGGTAAACTCAGAATTTTTGACAAAAAATACACTTCGAAAAATATCCTCCGAATTTAACGAAAAATACACTCCGAAAACACCGAACCCTATCTATAAACAATAAATGCAAAAAAAAAAAAAATTTAAGTGATATTTACCGAAAGTAGAAAAACTTTGCCCCGTCCCTTTAACTCAAGCCAAAGCGGCGCCGGTCGTATCTTTGGCTCAGATTCGCATTTATAGCGTCTACAGCATCTGCAGGGTTCACCTTACCGTGTTGAGCGTCGAGAAGATGGCGCTCTCGACTTTGCGCTTGAAGAGAGGGCTGTTGTGCCCCGTGAACGGCATGTAGACTTTGAACATGTGGTAGTCGTAACACATCAGATTGACGAAGTCCACGTACCTTTGAAGAAGAGGAAAGGCCAATTACATGGACTGTCCTTGAGGCCAAAGCAAGTATACGAAAAGTTTAACTGGTAAAAACCGGCCCATATGGCCTGCAATTTCTAAGAACATGCTTAAATCTTTAATTGTTTTTTTTTTCTTCGTTAGGATTGGAATTTATGCAGTGATTTCAGCTTGTTTAAGCAAAAAGAAAGCAGGCTAGAACCCAAGTACCTCCCGATTCCAGGGGCGTCGTAGGACTTCACGATGATCGGTTCGGACGCCGAGACTGCGACGGAGAGGAGCAATGCAGGCTGCTTGGTTACTATGGACTCGTTCTGAAATTGTTCCTTGGCTTCCTGCAGAGGCAAAGAATGCGCGCAAAGTGTCTCGTCACAGTTGTATGCTGCGTCTAAACTGCCCGAGTTGTCATGTCAAAAAGAAAAAAAAAACATCGGTTAATTTTTTTTTCTTTTTTGCTGTGATATAATTTAGGCAAGTGGAATCATAGCGGCAACGTACTAATTTAATGGAGACTGGCGTTCCTCAACAACCATGGCTGGTTGCCGATGATAGAATCACAGGAGCACGAGCTCAGCTCGCGCACCTCAGAGTTCACGCGCCGGTCACGCCTGCCTGTCATGCAACAACGGCATTGTTGTATTATGCAACAATGATCACTATATTACATTCCTTCCCCCTCAGGTGGGACAGTTCCGTAGCGGATGACTGGATGCGGCATCCAGTCATTCGTGTCGTGCTGATCTTCTGAGCAGCTGCTTCGGCCGAGCCGTTGGCGATGGCCCAACCTGAGGCACAGGTCTTCCTGGGTTACGCCTGGCAGGAGATGCTTGTGGTGTTCCATGTCCAGGCGCAGCCGCTGGTGGTAGCTTGACGTTGTAGTCAACGTCAGCTTCAAGGTTGTCATCCTAGTCAAGCCACGCATTCCTGAGGTGATCGCGATGACGGCGATGAACGTCTCAATTGGCCAGCTGAACCTTATAGGAGACTGGTCCCGTCACTGCTACAACCTTTGCTGCTTTCCATCGTGGTCCCGGCGCAAAATTCCGGACGTAGGCGGTGTCGCCCACGTGGAACCGCTTGACTTTTGGTTGATCCGCTCCTGGATCTCTCTGAAGGTCAGGATGCTGTCTGTCCAAAGGAGACCGCAGCCTCCGGCCCATCATCAAATCTCCCGGAGTCTTCCCGGTGTCCGAGTGAGAGGTCGTGTGCTGCTTAAATAAAAAAAAAAAAAAATGAAAAAAGTGAAATCTTGCACTTTGTGTCGCGTTGAGTTAGCTTCTTTAAAGCAGACTTGACTTCCCTCCCCACTCTTTCTGTCCTGCCATTGCTCGCAGGATGGTACGGGGCTGTGTAGATGAAACTGAGAGCATTGAGTTTCAATAACTCTTATTTCTGCACTATTGAAGGCCGTTCCGTTGTCCGAAACAATTACGTCGGGCAACCCATGTGTCGCGAATAGTTTCCTCAGCGCCGTAATCACTGCAGCTGATTTCGTGGACGGCATAATATCGACTTGGGCCCAGTTAGAAAATGCGTCCACCACAATAAGGAAACTTTCACCTCGAACATGTCCAGCAAAATCTACGTGCAGGCGGCTCCAGGGCTGTTCTGGTTTTATTCAAAAGTGAACAGGTGCTTTGGTATCGCCCTGCCTGTTTTCCTGGCACTGTTGGCAATGGCGTCCAAAGTCCTCGATTGCTTGATCGTTTTTAGGCCACCAAATGGCCAACGTTTTCATGGCTGTCATTCCTGGGTGGTTGGCATGAAGCAATTGTAGGGCCTTCCTTGTGGCTTGCTCGGGAATGACCACTCTATTTCCCCACAGAATACAATCTCGATGCAAGGAAAGTTCTGTGCGTCTCACCTCAAAAGGCGCAAAAGATTCTCCCAGGCTTTCTCGTGGCCAACCCGAGAGTATCCATTGCTTGACTCTTGCCAGCGTAGGGTCTTGCTTTGTCAGCCTTCTGATATCTGCTGCTTGTAGTGGAGGGTACTCGACGGCCTCGATAAGTACGTCACCTGGTGGCACTGGCTCATCGACATCGCTTGGTGCTGGAAGGCAGCTTATCCCATCAGTGTTGGTGCCGTCGATTCCTGGTCGAAACACAAGCTTGATACGCCCCAGCAGCAAGCTCCACCGCAGCATCCTCGGAGACAGGATCTGTGGCATTAACTTCTCTGTGTTAAAAATTCCAAGAAGCGGTTTATGATCGGTCACGATCGTGAATTCTCTTCCCGCGAGATACTGGTGAAAGTGCTGAACACCGTAAACTACGGCAATCCCTTCTTCGTCGATTTGAGCGTAATTGCGCTCACTTCGCCCCAATGTTCGTGACGCATAAGCTATTGGCGCTTCTATACCATCATCTTTCTTGTGAGAAAGAACTGCACCAACACCAACCGGTGAAGCGTCACACGACAAGACCAGTGGACGCGCTGGGTCGTAGCGTACTAGCACTGCGTCAGAGCTGAGAAGCCCTTTTAGGTTCCGGTACACTTTCTCATGCTCCTGCGTCCACGTCCATTTTTTTCTTGGTCTAGGAGGCGATGCAATGGCTCGGCAACTTGAGGCTTTTTTTCAAAAAATCTGCTGTAAAAGTTGACTTGTCCCAAAAAAGTTTGTAGCTCTTTTTTGTTCTTTGGGCTCGGCATTCTCTTGATTGCAGTCACTTTTTCTTTACTTGGGTAAATACCAGTGGAATCAATTCTGTGACCTAAGCACTCTATGCTTGTTTCGCAGAACTCTCGTTTGTCCTTGTTCACCCGCAAACGCGAGTCTTGCAACCACTGCATGACTGCTCTTAATCTTTCTTTGTGCTCCGCTACGGTCGAGCCCGAGATAGCGATATCATAGAGATATACGACAACTCCAGGTATACTTGATAGTAAGCTGTCTACAACACGCTGGAACAATCCTGTTGCGAGAGATATACCGATAGCAGGTCGGCGAACTTTGTGCAGTTTTTTCAGCGTATTCACGGTGAGGACTTCTGATGATTCGTTATCAAATACGAGCTGCTGATAGGCTTGGGCTAGGTCTAGTTTCGTGAATATCTTACTTGACCCTAGAATGGCAAACAACTTGGTGACAGTCGGTAGTGGATAGACGTTTTTCTCAACCGCCTTGTTAACTCTGCTACAACTATCACCGCACAGGCGTAAAGTTCCGTTTTTCTTTCTCACCACGACGAGCGGTGTGGCCCAGTCGGAGTACTGGGTCGGCTCCAGGATGCCTTGCTTCTCCAGGCGGTCTAACTCCTTGGTCACACCCTCTCGAATGGCGAACGGCACCGGCCGACTCTTTAAAAACTTCGGTTGCACGTCGTTGAGCTCCATGTGGATCGGAGCTTCCTTGAATCCGGGCAGATTGGTGCGAAAAACCTCGAAAAACCGCGCTGTTCGCGCTTCGTCGGACGTGCTGACGTGTCTGCTGCAGTGTAACTCAATGCCCATAGCGGTCGAAACGAGTTTCGTCCCATGAAGCTTCTTCCGTGCTGTGCCACGACCATGACTGGCAAAACAGCCTTGCGTCCTTTAAACATGACGCCTACCATTGCTTTGTCAACTGTGGGCAATGTCTGTTTTGACCAGGTCAACAACTTGCATGTTGGGTGTGCTCTTAATGGGAAGCAGCCTCATGTCTGTCTAGTGAAACATTCCTTCGCTCATGATAGACCAAGACGCTCCAGAGTCAACTTCCATGATTACTCCTTGTGACTATCTTTACTGGCACTAGAAAGATTTCTTCGGTTTCGTGCGCCTCGCAGATCGAACAGAGTTCGTCGATACTTCGTAAACACCGTCTTCCTTTTTTGTGTCCCTTTCTTTCTTTATTGTGGCGGTCTTACTTTGGCATGCCTTTGCTATATGCCCCTTCTTCTGGCATTTGTAGCAGACGGAGTCTTTAAATTTGCATAGGAAAGAGATGTGCTTACCGGTGCAACGGTGGCAGTTTCCGCTGTCTGCTTGCCTCTGAGGTTTCATCGTTGTCGCTTGAATTTCATCATCAGAGGTACCCTTTACAACACTGCTTCCGTTGCTTCCTGATGTCTCGCTGTTGCCTCGACGTTGCCTCTGCAGTGACGGCCAAGTCGTAGGTTACGTCGAACGTCAAATTGCGTTCAGCCAAAAGCCGTTGCTGCACTCTCTCGGGCGCGATGCCGCAGGCGTACCTGTCTCGCATCACGATTTCAAGTGGCAGTCGTCTATATCTCTGAAACCGCAGTCTTCTGTCAGCTTTCGAAGCGCTGTCATGTAGTCTGCAACTGTCTCGCCGACGTGCTGGTCGCGCTTGTAGAACCGGAACCTTGCGTAGAGTTCAGATGGTCTTGGGTGCAGATGAGCCTTGACCGCTGTCACTATCGTGGTATCGTCTGCAGCTGTCGGTATCGTCGGCTTCACCAACAAGCTTCACCAACTCAGCAAAACGGCACGCTTCTGAATGCGTTGTCAGACTGTTGGCTACGCAGTGACATTTCGAGTCGCTCTACGTACTCGTCCCAGGAAGCGTTGGTGCTGAGGCGATACTCGGTGATACTGCCCACAGCCATCCTCGGGGTCCGGGCACCGGACGCTTGCCCATTGTCTTCGTCCGCTTTGTCGCCAATTGTAATAACTTAGGCAAGCAGAGTCATAGTGGCAACGTACTACTTTAATGGAGACTGGCGTTCTTCAACGATCATGGCTGGTTGCCGATGATAGAATCACAGGAGCACGAGCTCAACTCGCGCACCTCAGAGTTCACGCACCGGTCACGCCTGCCCGTCATGCAACAACGGCATTGTTCTATTATGCAACAATGATCACTATATTACATTTGCATAGCATTATGCATAACAAAACTTGTTTAAACAAAAGTTTGCCGGCAGTATCTTCAAATTAAAATAAAATGCATGATGTGCGCATTCTTCGTTTATGATATAGGTGCAATAACCTCCGTACATGGTTCCTGCTGTCCTGCGTTAGCTGCGGCCTGACACAATAATGTTACTATTACTTAAAAGTTTATTTGTTCCGAACCCTCTCCAAGATCCTTCTTGGCCACGTAAATCTCTGTCTATTTCTAGCGTGAACCACAAACTTCTCTTTTTTGTTATTGCAAATACGCTACTTTATAGAGTGACACCGCATACATTTGGCCATTTGGCTGCCCATGAATTTCTGCAATGCTTTGATGTGGGGCGAGGAACGTAGCATACCTTGAGCAAGTGAACGAAGTTCTCTCGATCTAGCTCCGGTGGATCTGACTGTCCTGGAAACTCCCAGTCAATGTCGAGCCCGTCGAAGCCGTACTTGCGCAGCAAAAGAATCGCGGAGTTCAAGAACCTGAGGTGAGATACAGGATTTAAGATCACCAGAGCGATCCATGATGTACAGAAAGCTCAAGAAACACAGGGTTTACTAAGTTCACGCTGTTTGCTTTGTGACCCCTCCTTCTGTGTTCTTATTCAGTGACGTCGCAGTCTCATCGACTATAAAATGATCGGAACTGACCTCTCGTTTCTTGAACTCCCAATCGTATTTTGTACCCAAAAAGCAAAGAATAAAAAACAAATAAAAATAGTGCCGTAGGTTTTGTGTGACTTCCGGTTTTCACATATCTGGCGAAATAATATTCAGCGTGCATTTAAGGGAGCTATTTTAGTGCAAAAGCACGAAAAAAAAATCATTTATACAGGTTTAATGACAGCGTTACAAGCAATTCCCGTTGTTTTTTTTTCACGTTTCTCCCGCAATTAAACCTCTGCATCAAAACTTCTAGTCTGGTGGAATGCGTTCAGCCATAAAATTACTAAGCGTGGAGCATTCTAGTAATGTTTTTTTATCACTCCACTGCCAATAAATAATATTGCGACATTTACCTATAAGAACGCGGAATAACAAATCACAATACAAGAAGCGTGATTGTTTCCAACATTCGCGGAAGAGGAATTCCTTATGCAAACATGACGGACAAATACATTCACGTGAGTATAGATAGCATATGGCAATCGTGATAACATTTACAATGGCGTAAACTACGTCGCCTTGAGAGGATTACATGCCTACTATATTCAGCAAACAACACATCGAGGCGACGAGGTTGTGCGCGGACGAGCCGTAAAAAACGTTTAAAAAAAAAAAGGAAAAATAATAAGACCGCGGGTAAAACTAGAAACATAAAACTTGACGGCATGGGTCAAAGCATCGATGTATAAACTCCGGTTTCAAGACTCCATCGATGAGTGCTATCGTTTTTGCTTGTATGCTCAGCGACAACTTGAAAACTGTAAGGCGTGCACTTTTTATGTTGACACTTTTCGCTTTCGTGGCTTGCTGTTTGGCGTGCTTACTGGTCAGTGCCACAATCGCGTTGGCTGCGGTGCCATAATGATATATTCGGGAACGCCCCGTGTTCCTTAAAATGTCAATGACAATAGTTCTCGATGTAATGCGGAACGTTTCATGAGCGCGTCCTGTCAAAAAAAAAAAATAATAATAATAATTGGTGCGTGCATGCTTGTACAGCACGAACTTGGTCTGCCTCAATGGAGAGATGAGCAATTTAGCCAGTGCAGTACAACCGCTAGCCTGGGGTCTTTAACGTGCACCACACAGTAGTGATACACGACCGCACGCCGGTACGATGCTCGTCCAGATCGAAACGGGCAGGGGTGTGGATTGAACCCAGAATCCCTGGGTTCTGCAGAGCGAGCTTTTGCTCCAGATGGTGGTGCTAGCTAGCTGGTGTGCGCTAGCCCACTTCGCCACCGATCCTCCCCACGTGTCCTGTCGAAGATAAAGCTCCTCTATCGTGGGAAAAATGGCGGCATTGATTGTTGTGGAAATGCTCGAGACACGTGGAGCGCGCCACTTCTGGGAAGAACATGGTGTCGTTAATCTAGCTCAGTGCAACGCTGTGCCGCCATGATCTCCCCAAGGGCTGCACGTTGCACGTGCCTCGCGCATCAACGCACCTTGCGCTATTTTTGAAACATGAAGGGTCGTTAGTCGAAGATTGATTTCCACGACGCTGTAAGCAAACTCCTCCGGTTGCTTCGCGCGGCTCAAAACTATGTTCAATGTTCGACATCTTGCGACACCGTTATTTCTACGAGGAGTTTCTGGATCTGTCAGTGTCCACGGCCCAGCCTTATGCCTTGCTGCAGCATCGAATAGGGTCACTGGACGTGTCGCATGCAGTGGCGTACCAACTTACTTTTGAGTGGAAGGGTAAATCCCCCCCCCCCCCCCCCCCCCCTCCAGGGCCGGGGGGCGGTGCCCTTCGTATCGCTTGGGCGCCGCCGGCCAATGTTTGCCCTGCCCAGTGGGCCAGGGGTGCTATGTTGCGCTTTTTGGACTCCCAGGAGACTAGGGAGAAGGAAGTGACGTCAACGACACAGCAAACGCAGATTGGATGTTGACAGAAGAAAACGAAATCAACACCCAATCTGCGTTTGCTGTGTCGTTGACATCACTTCCTTCTCCCTAGTCTCCTGGGAGTCCAAAAAGCGCAACATAGCACCCCAGTTCTCAGAGTGGGGGAGCAAAACACATGCCTTGGCCTCCCACTCTGAGAACTGGGGGGGGGGGGGGGGGGGGGGGGGGGGCAAGCGCCCCCTTTGTCCCCCCCGGTTGGTACGCCCATGGTCGCATGCGTATTTCTGACAGCGTCTGTTGACCATCGCTATACTTCTCCAACCGGCGTGTTTAGCGTCTCATCCCGCCCAAGTATACACCAACTCAACTCTCCTACGTCACGCCGCGGTGGTGGCGCGCCGGACGCACTTCCGGTCTGTGGCGGTGGGCAGAAGTCGCCGTGCCAGACATGCATTCCTGTGTTCCCTTGGAAGAAACGAGACAAAAAACCTGCTTTCTCGTGAAAATGCTGCGACGGGGGTTGTACCAAGAGAGTCTGGAAAGGTTTGAAGATCAGTTTTCATGTGTTTTTGCCCCCTCCGTTCGTCCGAGAACGTGGATAGTAGCCGTGAAAAGGGCAAACCAGACGCTGTCGAACTATGATTGCGTGCGCGGGCAACATTTGTGGTCGCCAGATGTATTTGCTTTGTTCCAACATAAACGAGAGAAAACCGCCAAGTTGTCTGAACCACCCACGGGTTCAGTGCGTCTTCAAATTCACACGGCCGCCTGATCGTTCGAACTTTCGTCCGCTCTTTCAAACGTCCGCTTTTTGTCGTCTGCTCGTTCGAACAAAAGCGGCCCGTAGACCAAACTTTGACCCGGTGATTGCAATAAAAAGTAATTGCAGACCTCAAAAGACTTAAGTAGGCTCGGTGTAAAAAGTAGATACAAGATGTTGATCATTGGTACCGGTGGTCATCACCGACTTGTTACGCTTGGTCTGTTCCCGCTTCCGATTTTCAGTATCGACGTCGATCATCGCCGCTACCTTCTACACTTTTGCAACACGAGCGACGTCGCTACCGAAAATAGCTGGAAGAATCTCATCATGGTTTTGGCGTCCATTCTGCGGCGTTCATGCGAATGAATCGCCGCACGTCAAATTATTTACGGAAAGTTTAGCGGCGTAACGAGCCTTGATAATTTCGCTTAAGCGATTAAAGTGGTAAGACATTGCGATGAGGACGTAGAATCAACAATTCCAACGCGAAAAAGAGTAGGCAGACTCACACAGAGTTGACAACGTGACATTCGAGTGGTTTGTTGACGCGGGACGTGGTGCTTCTTGCCCGTACCCCATTACGCATGCGTTCGAACTGTCGTCTGCTCTTTCAAACTTGGCTGCTTTTTGTTGTCAGCTCGTTCAAACGACAGCGGCCCGGAAACCAAACGTTGATCCGGTAATTGCGATAAAAACTAAGTGCTGGCCTCAAAACACTTTTGAAGGTCGGTTTTGGTAAGTAGGCTAAGTGTAAACAGATACAACATGTTTATCATTATTGTTACCAGTGGCCATCACCGACTTGTAATGCCCGACGCTTTTGCAGTCCGAGCAACGTCGCGTCTGAAAACAGCGAGCAGAATCTCATCGTGGGAGTCAGGCTTTAGCGCCCATTCGGCGGCGTCCACGTGAAATGAATCGGCGCACGTCACATTATTCACGCAAAGTTTTGCCTCGTTAGTTTTGCTGAAGCCGCTCAAGGAGTCAGACATTGTTAGGAGGACGTAGCATCAACAATTCCAACGCGAAAAAGAGCACGGGGACTCCCACCGACGCCGACAACAACGCAATTCAATGGTGTGTTTATGGGCGACGGCGGGCTTCTTGCCCACCATCCACCGCGCATGCGCGGCGCCGGTGGCGTCCGCTAGGGGCGCTCCGGTTTGTTTGTAAACATGAGTTGGTGTATACAAAGTGGTCCCAAAGAGGCAGCAAGTGGCGACACCGGTGTGTCTCGAAAGTCGCGTACAAACATTCCGAAAAAAAAAGAAAAAGTATGGGCGAACGGATTTTTTGCAGCCGTGCGGCGTCCCAACCCCTGAATGCATGCCTAAGCTTCCGTGGACAGTCAGGCTAGAGAGCAACCTGCAACAGAACAGGCGTCTGGCGCATGCTGTGCGCCACCACCAGGATCGCGGCAGGCAACGTCATGACACTTCTGGCGTCATCAGGCGGAAATCGGAGTCACGTGCCTGGCCACATACGCATACACACCTGGTCCGTGCTTCGTTAGTGCTGACCATGTCCGTGAACTTTAAGCCCGAGCTGCCGCCGCCCCCGACGGAGAGCATGACCTTGAGCGAAGGGTCGACCCGCTTCAGCGCAGTGGTGCGGGCGTAGTACGCGGCGTCTTCGGGGTGGCGAGGAGCCAGGGCACCGTCGGCCAGATCCGCGAAGCCGCAGATGATGTGCGTGCACAGTGTGACGTCCAGGGACTCCGGCTGGAGGGACTCGGACGCTTTGAGGTAGCAGACGCGCTTCGCCGCTGTTCCGTCATTCAGCTCTGGAACTGGGAGCGGAAAATGTCTTTGCTTCTTCGCTGGATAACGTATTAGTCTCAGCTGTTTATTATTTTAACACATAGTGCGTTCTATCAGCCGAGTTTCACAAGAAAAACAGTCACGGAGAGCCGTCCTGTGAATAGACTACTTCCATAAATCTGTCACCGCGCGCGTTGCATTCTGGGAACCTGTGGGCATAGGTCGGCATTTCCGAACCCACTCACTCACCATCACATCACTAATTACAGCAACATCCAAAAGTCACAGCCCTTCACATCACAAAGTACATCGACGTCCAAAAGTCACAGCCTTTCACATCACAGAGTACACCGACGTCTAAAAGTCACGGCCTTTCACATCACAAAGTACACCGACGTCCAAACGTCACAGCCCTTCACATCACAGAGTGCACCGATGTCTAATATTCACGGCCCTTCACATCACAAAGTACACCGACGTCCAAAAGTCACGGCCATTCACATCACGGAGTTCAACCGGACAACAAACTCATCCCCGTCACGTCACCTCAATCTCTGAACTCACAAAGTCATTCACCGTCACTTCACGAATCCGTCAAGTTCACGAAGTACTTCACCGTCACATCACGAATCCTATAGAGTTCATGAAGCATTCCCCATCCCATCACCGCCAACTCTGAATTCACGAAGTCGCTCACCGTCCCATCACGAGCTCATCGAGTTCAGCAAGTCGTTCCCCTCACGTCCGTGAACTGATCCCGTTCATGAAGTCGTTCGACCGGTTCGACTTCACGGCCCTTCACCGAGTCACAGTCATTCACCGAGTCACAGCCATTCACCGAGTCACCGAGGTCACGGAAAGCGGCGTCGGCCCCTGCAGCCGCGGCCACCGCCACTGCCTCCGGCTCTCAGCCATCCTCGAAGTTCTTTCGCAGCGGCGCTGACGGCTCCAGATGTGTGTGTCAGTGTGTGTGTGTGTGTGTGTGCGTGAGGGGGGGGGGGTATTGGGCTGGGCCTGGCGACGCACCCTGCACTTGTCATTTTCTTTGTTTAGCTTGTTCCCTCTGGTTTTAGTTTTGTTGTCCCGTTTCTTTTATTTTCGTTTTGTTTCGCGCTTTCTTCATCGAGCGCGCATGCTGTGGAGAGCGAGCGGCTTCTTGACTTCCCTGCTCCGAACTTGTGAGATAAGGTGCTTGTTTCCGGGAGAGTTATTAGCCCCACGGATGCCCAGAACCAAATGGCTGCTGGTTTGTGGGCGAGCGGTATTACAAAGGGTGGCATCACTCTAGCAAAGAGCACATGAAGGCTCCCTAGACTTCGCCTGGTTGTCGGCGTTGTGATTGTGGAGGGGACCCCACCTCAAAACCTTCTGGCCTGTCCTTTTTTTTTTTTTCATATATATACCTTTTCTTGCGCGCGGTTTTTTCTACGAAAAAAAGAGAAGGCGCTTATATTTTTGCCAACGACCGCTCGCCGAGGGGGCAAAAAGGAGAGACAGACACGAACCTGCGTGTACGATTTTTGTGAAACCTCTTACAAACATTAATACGAGTCCATATTATATGAACGAAGACATTTTAGCGCATTGGAGTTTAGCGAATAGAGATCACATACGCGAGTCGACGTTTAGGCATTTGTAGGGGCGGCAAACTGGGCATCCAAACAGACCGCGCCAGGCGGTCTGTTCAGAACGATAGCAAAACTCAAGTTCGAGCGTCCATCGCCAAAGGTTCGGCAAGCTCGAAAACAGGAAAGCGGCGGCCTTCATCAGCGGCGGCCTTCATCCATGGCAACCAGCCTATCGTTGCCTACCTCACTTTACGTCGTAAAATAGCGCGTTGATGTCACTTTCATAAGAGATACCATAATAACGCAGTACTTCACAGCCGACCGCTGAATCACCCGTCTAATATTTTGTAACGGATTTCATCATATATATATATAAAGTAGACATTCCAAAACAAGAGTCATCCATTCCCAAAACTTTCAGTGGACTGGAACTACCTTCCCACATCTGTTGCCACAATTGCCACTTACTATATGTTTAAAAATTGCCGTAAATAATCTATACAGCTCAGACTGAGCTCCAAAGTGTACAGCTTTGTTCTGTTCTCTTCTAACTCCCGCTCACCTCTGTAATGCCGATGGCCCTGAGGGTATGTCAGTTAAACAAATAAATAAAAAAAGTAAGTGCCTCGCCTAAACAACCTCTTAAAGAGGTCGCCTCTTTAAGAGGTTTGCAGCTTGCCGAAGCAATGAAATCTTAGGTTTGTTCGAACCCGTTGGTCAGAGTACACCTCATCATTAATTAAACCACTCATTGGATCATTCACCTCGAAGCAATATGTTTACTTCCGAGCGTGTTCGTGTCGCTCAACCTACTTTGAGCGAAATGCAGTCGAGATAACTAATGATGGCGCTCGACTCCACTTTTCTCAGCTTTGAACCGAGGCGAGGCGCGCGACTCACGCGCGCCTCGCGCTCGTTGTTTTACGCCGGGGTTTGGCTGCGCATAGACTCGTTTTATAGGTAGCGTACTGTGTTTTCGGAGTTCATGTTTGAATAGAATCGGAGCGTGTTTTTAGGAGTTTATTTTGTAGCGTAGTCTACACTGGCCGAGGTTGAGCAGTTTCGCGTGGCTTCTGGCGAGCCGTGCTGCGTATGCGCGAGGAGCAGTGACGTCACACGTGTCAGCACCGACTGGCCTACCTTCAAACTTTACCACAGTTCGACTAAACATCTGTTGGACAAAGAGTCAATCATTTGCTAAAGTCCGACGGGGCGGTGTTCGCGAATATAATAGACTCGGAAACTTGATGGGACGCAAGTTCTTGAAGCGGGAATCTCTACGAAGCGTTTTATTAGAAGACAGGGTCTTCTAGTTTCACCCCTTGACATTGCTTTCAGTCAGGATGGCACGCGCTGTGCAATTGATTGGGAGCTAGTGCGCCACTTTCCGCGAGAACACCAGTAATGCAGGCGGCTGCTACCAACGGAGAAAACTGCGAATGACAAGGTCTACAGTATCTAGACTTAAAGGGGCGATGCAACGATATTCAATTGGAATGTTTTTCACTTTACACGAGCTTACTGGCACTAGTGGTTCTCAAGGATACTCACACGCAACACCACTGGCCAAGAAACTCCTTTGTTGCGCTGTAATTTCGAGGACAAAACCGAGCGTTTTCATTCAATCTCTCCTTCGCAAAACCTGGTAACGTAGCTGGGCGGTAGTAGTACCGCCCAGTGACGATATGTGAATGCGGCTCATAGGTTGGACCCGAGCATGGCGTGGACACTCGATTTGGGCTCGTGATAATCGATAGCTCGAGAAGCATTCGGGTATGTCCGGTGTCCAAGCGCTGCAATGACGAAAACAGCCGAACCATAACAATGTCTGGAACGCAGCGCGTGTCCTGTGCCTTGCCAACCCCAGCGCGTGGCTATGATCAACACTGGCGGCATATAATCGGCTCCAGATCACGTGGCTGCTTGTTCTGGCTGCGAGTTGAGGGGTGAACTTTGCTCGTTTTTCTTTATTTTTTTCTACCACTTCGATTGCGTGGGGTGAAAAACGAACGGGTAATTTACAGGTCATTAACGTTAGGGATCCGTCCTAAGCGGTATTGGCGCAAAATACAAAAATCGTTGCATCGCCCCTTTAAAAATGATTTTCCTAACGTTATACTCACATGACGTGACGTGAGCAAGTAAAACGTGGTGCTCAGTGGCACCTCATTTCACATCATTTTTCCACTGTATTTTATACACCAACTCATGTCTACAAACAAACTGGAGCGCTCCTAGCCGACGCCACCGGCGCCGCGCATGCGCGATGGGGTGTGGGCAAGAAGTTCGCCGCGTCGCCGATAAACAAACCATTGAATTGCGTTGTTGTCGGCGGTGGTGTGAGTCCAACGCAGGTTTCTGCGTTGGAATTGTTGATTCTACGTCTTCCTGGGCAATGCCTGACTACTTGAGCAGCCTCAGCGACATTACTGAGGCTCGCTATACCACAAAACTTCGCGTGAATAATGTGACATGCGGCGATTCATTCCGCGTGGACGCCGCAGAGGGTACGCTAAAGCCTGATTCGCATGATGAAATTTCGGTCGCAATTTTCAGTCATGACGTCGCTCGGGTTACAACAGCGTGAACCGTAGCTGAGATGTTCAACATCGATACTGAAAATCGCAAGCAGAATCGGACCAAGTGAATGAGGCATAACAAGTCGTTGATGGTCACTGGTAACAACGATCACCATCTCCTTGTATCCACTGTTTACATCGAGCCTGCTTACCAATTTTCAAACTTAAGTATTTTGAGGCCTGCACTCACTTCTTATCGCAAGTACCGGGCCAACATTTGGTCCACGGGCCGGTGTCGTCTAAAAGAGCAGACGACGAGCAGAAGCGTTTGAAAGAGCAGACGACAGTTCGAGCGATCAGGCGGCCGTTCGATCTTGAAGACGCACTGAACGTCCGCATGCAGGCGATCCCAACAACTTGGCGGTATTACCGCTTTCATGACGGAACAAAACAAACAAATCTGATGACAACAAGTATCCGTGAATTTAACCCAAACTGCTTCCGGCCCAAGCAATCGTGGTCCGACGGCGACTGGTTTTCCATTTTCACGGCACATATCCACGTTCTCGGACGAACCGAGCACTTGAAAACTGATCTTCAAACCTTTCTCGACTCTTTTGGTGCAGCCCCATGCGTTTTGACGAGTAGGCAAGTTTCTGTCAGTTTTTTTTTTTTTTTTAATACAACCCTAGAATACACGTCTCACATAGGGACTTCCTCCTTCAGCTCCAGACCGGAAGTGCGCCCGACGCGCGACCATCGCGCCGTGACGTAACAGAGATGAGTTCGTTGGTTCGTGTATAGACAGAACATAATTTCGGCGACATATTCGCCTATACATGAACTCATCTCTGTTACGTCACGGCGCGGTGGTGGCGCGTCGGGCGTAACAGAGATGCTCCTCAATACAAAAACCAAAAGGCTCCTTAAAACCAAAACCGA